TAGTGTTTCTGGGTGAATTTCATTTTGATGGCAAACTGAAGCAGAGAATTGGAAAAAAAAGTTTCTTTTTGCTTGGGTTTGCTCAGTTATTAAATACTAATGGGGAATAGGCAAGGGTGTAAGTTTGTGGGGAGGGGACACAGTGACCTCTGACATCTGTCCTTGTGACTCTCATCACCTACAAACATATCAACTGCCTTCTGTCTTGGTGACTTCATCTGAAAGATGGGAACAATGCTACTACTTTCCAATAGAATTGTAGTCACAATTAAATGAGGTAATTTTGAAGAGTACCAGACTTAAAATGGATGCTCAATAAATGTTAGTTGTCTCTTCCATTTTTCATGTCTCCCTACTGTTTTCCCTGAAATAGATAAACATGTATGACATGTTAACATGTAAACATATTAATATAGTCTTCCTACCTGAAGTCATCCTTAATGTTCTCTCATATAGCCTATGTTAATAATTGGTCTGGGCTTCCCTGGTGGCACAGTGTTTAAGAATCCGCCTGCCAATGCAGGGGACACGGGTTCGAGCCCTGGTCCGGGATGATCCCACATGCCGCGGAGCAACTAAGCCCGTGTGCCACAACTACTGACCCTGCTCTCTAGAGCCCGCAAGCCACAACTACTGAAGGCCCCGTGCCTAGAGCCCATGCTCCGCAACAAGAGAAGCCACCGCAATGAGAAGCCTGTGCACCGCAACAAAGAGTAGCCCCCCCTCGCCACAACTAGAGAAAACCCATGCACAGCAACCAAGACCCAACACGGCCAAAAATAAATAAACAAAAATTTAGGAAAAAAAAATTGGTCTGTATTTGCTGTCTTTCCCCAGCACATACAGGTCCACATTCATGATAACACCAAGAATTGCACACTTTCATTGGCTAGACTTGAATTTTTTGGACCAAAAACTTTCTTGAAATCCATGAGCTGTAGCCTAAAAGGGAGTCTTCTGTTACTAGAGAATTGGTTCTGTCGGGATGGTTGTTTAGGGATTTGACCTCAGCTGTCTCCTGGATGACTGCATCAGCTTGTGCAGGTTGAGGCCTCTCTATTCTTGGGGCTGCTCAAGAGGCCTGGCCCTGTGTTCCCTTGACATGGCTCTCCCTGTTGCGCTCTGCAGTGGGAGCTTGGGGACTCACTGTGTATATCAAATCATCACTTTGTACATTAAATATGTTACAATTTTTATTTGTCAATTATATTTTAATAAAGCGGTAAAACTTTTTTGAAAAATAAAATGAAGTTACTAAAAGTGTAGGTTTTGATAACCTAATAACGTATTCTGAAGGGAAGAAAAGAGAGCCAAAGTGAGGTTTCCCTGAGGAAGAAGAAATTCCACCTGCAGACTCTGCACCATCTCCTCCTGCCTGGAAGTTTCCAGATTGCTGGCCTGCCCTACAGATTTCAGACTTGCCTAGCCAGCCTCCACAGCTGCATAAACCAATTATTTGCAGTAAATCTCTTTATGTATATATGTACGTATAACTCTTCATGGTTCTTTCTCTTGTAGAACCTGACTGACACAGCAAGTAACTTTACTTATTTGACTGAACAAGTAAAGGCTAGGTGTTAACTCCCTCAAGTTTCACTCTTTACCTACTCCACATACAAACTTACCTATACCTTCACTCTATTTTCTTCTCTCTTAAAGTTTCCTGCTCCAACACCTACATAAAGCATCCTTGCCAATCTCTTCTGAGACCTTGCTCCATCGATTATCTCCTCTTTCCTGAATCTTCAGCCTCTACTCTAACTCATGCTCACGTCTCCCCTGTCTAGGAAAAAACAAAAACAAAAAAAAACTCCTTCCTTACATTCCCCATAAATATTACTTACATATTTTCTGCCTTTCTAGAGCCAGACTTCTTGAAATATTCAATTCTTGCTGCTGTATTTCCTCACTTCCCATTCATTCCTTAACCAATTGCAGCCTGGCTCCAACTTTCAGGTTCCAGACAAAACTTTCTTTGTCAAGATTATAAGTGACCTTCTGATTGCCAAAGCTAAAGAAACTGAAGTCTGTCCTTTTCTTGACTTCTCAGAGGCATTAACCACTCCTTGAAATTTCTGTCTTGCCTTTGAGTGCATCACTCCTCCTTCCCTTCACCTCCGAGACCACTCCATTCTCTATTTCTTTAACTGATTCTTCTTCTTCGGACCAACTGTCAAACTCTGGTGTTACCCAGTCCACTCTGACTTCAGCCTTTTATCATTTTATATGCCTACAGTTTCCCTGGGTGACTTCTTCCACACCCATCACTTGAACTTCATTATCTGTGTGCTGGTGACTCCTGAATCTAAGCCCTATATCAAACTCTTATCAAAGCTTTATTCCCAAATATCCCTCTGCCCAATGTTGGATCCAGACATGTCCCCATTCCAGAATGTGCCACAGATACATCAAAACTCAATGGGGAGGCTTCCTTGGTGGCGCAGTGGTTGAGAGTCCGCCTGCCGATGCAGGGGACATGGGTTCGTGCCCCGGTCCGGGAAGATCCCACATGCCGCGGAGCGGCTGGGCCCGTGAGCCATGGCCGCTGAGCCTGCGTGTCCAGAGCCTGTGTTCTGCAACAGGAGAGGCCACAACAGTGAGGGGCCCACGTACCGCAAAACAAACAAACAAAACCCAAAAAACGCAATGGGGGAACTTCCCTTGTGGTGCAGTGGTTAAGAATACGCCTGCCATTGCAGGGGACACAGGTTCAAGCCCTGGTCTGGGAAGATCCTACATGCTGCGGAGCAGCTAAGCCTGTGTGCCACAACTACTGAGCCTGCTCTCTAGAGCCCCTGTGCTACAACTACTGAGCCCGCGTGCCACAACTGCTGAAGCCCGCACGCCTAGAGCCTGTGCTCCGCAACAAGAGAAGCCACAGCAATGAGAAGCCTGCACACTGCAATGAAGAGTAGCCCCCGCTCGCTGCAACTAGAGAAAGCCCGCTCGCAGCAACAAAGACCCAACGCATCCAAAAATAAAAATAAATGTATAAGAAAAAAACAAAACCTCAGTGGGTCCAATGAACCTATCTACAAAACAGAAACAGACTCACAGACAGAGAACAGACTTGTGGTTGCCAAGGGGGAGGGGGCGGGGAGAGAAGGACTGGGAGTATGGGGTTAGCAGATGCAAACTATTATATATAGGGTGGATAAACAACAAGGTCCTACTGTATAGCACAGGGAATTATATTCAATATCCTGTGATAAACCATATGGAAAAGAATATAAAAAAAAGAATGTGTGTAACTGAGTCACTTTGCGGTACAGAAGAGATTGGCACAGCATTGTAAATCAACTATATTTCGAAACTCAATGGGTCCAGAAGCTAATTAATTTTTCTTTTGTATTCCCCATCTCAGAGAGTAACAGTCTTCCCAGTTTCCCAAGCTACTAACATGGTAGTTCTCCTAGATTCTCCTTCACTCACCCTCGTGCATTCAGTTATCAAGTTCTTCTGAGCCTATCTTCCACCTCAAATCTCTCAAATTCTTCCCTTTTCTCTTTTCCTCATATTACTGCCTTTGTATAGACATCATTTCTGATCTAGAACTAGTCTCTTAACTATTTTCGTATCTCATCCTGCTTTACCTTTAGTCCATTTTCCCCACTTATACCAGGAAAATTATATATTCTTCTAAATCTTATCAATCCCCTGGGCAAAGTTTTCAGTGGCTCCCCGTAACTCATAAGATAAAGTTTAAATAGTTCAGTATGATATTCGCGGTTCCTGCCTTTCCATGAGGCTTCATCTTTGGCCCAATTGTGATTTGCATTTTACCTGTACTGAACCACTTGTAGTTCTCATATCTTCACATTTCTGCATAAGCTGGGCCCAGTACTGTTCCCCTACACCACACACACACACACACACACACACACACACACACACACACACACAC